AGCAGAGCGGTTTGTACCTAGTCCACGGCTTTATTATTAGTTTATTACTGTAATATTACTGTATATTGTGTATATACTTTATAAATACTTATAATACGAATAAAATATTTCACGAACGACACGAACTAATCATTCTAAATGATGAGGTATCTACAAATAGTTACAACTACCCGCACAATTTAAAACGCTGATAACAAATAACAGCTGATAGTATAATATAGAACCCGATTTAATATATTATTCAGGTTACTCAATGCCGTATAGAAATTGATCTCCCGAGTGGTGTTCGCATTTTATCTCCAAAAATCAGCTGTTCGCCATGGGAAGAAGTACAGCTAGCGCTCTTGGTGTACGTAATTATATATATATTTTTACATAATATGATTAAGATTTACATTGCTTAACTGCATTCTTTCCGCTTGGACGCTAGTCGAGCTTCTCGCAGTCCATAATCGAGGATAAACATTGGTCATCAAAAATAATGCTGCTTTGAGTAACCTGTAAATATATATGAAATCGTGATATGGAAGCAGCTGTTCAGTATTTTTATGTTGGTAGATCTACATTTACAATCTTAAAATATTGTTATTTTGTTTGAAGTTTCAACAATAAATAATAATATTGCCACCAAAATACAATACCTATTGTTTATTATAATCTTGCTTTGTATATTTTTGTTATACAAATTGAAAAGTTTTGATTTCCAGTATTAAGAAATACACAATTTTATACTATACAAGTAGCACAAACATCTATATACTCACTAGGTGTTCTTTTATCATTGAACAGTGAACACTAATGATTTCAAAAAGTATAAATGTTTTTGAATAATTAAATTTGAAAAAAATTCAAATTATATAAGTATATTTGACAACTTTTTGAGTGATAACTTATAAGTTAAAAGTTATAGCTCGTAATTAAACTACTCATCCTAAATTCGATTTGTATGTATTGAAATACTGAGAAAAATATTCTGCTTTCGAAAATGAAATTATAACAGTATATTGTGAATCAAAAAAGTAAAACAAATTTTAAAATAATAAGGATAAAACATATTTAAAAATATAATTTTTTTTTTTAAAACGTTACTGTGTAACTACTCGATATCATTCAAAAAAATATTTTCAAAAACATTAAAACTTTTTGAATGGTGAGTGTCTTGCATTCGATCAATAACTCAATATATACAATTATTATTTTTAAATATTGATTAGAACAAAAGTTATTTCATTTGTTAGGTAATTTTGTTACACCTTGTATATCTCCGACTTCCGAGTCTCTACGGATTGGCTGTATCTCTGTCAGAGTCTAACTAATGTCTTTAGTGTTACGAATAGTTTTCCGGAAATGTATAATTGTAACATCTTGCTGACTTATCACATTTTATTATATCACACCACTGCAGATTTTTATTCAAGAAATGTAGTATAGCGAAGTCTATGTATCAAATCCCACAAAAAACCACTAATGGAACAAGAAAGACAATAAGTAACCAATTTTCTTTTACATTCGACATCAAACAATAAACGTCGGTATACAAGCACGTCGATGTCGTCAGAAATTAATTCGATGGTCTTCAATACAGACATCAGTTGACTAGCCGGCCATAGCAACGGGGACAATAGATTTTGTTCATAAATTCGTCGGCTGCGAGTTACGACTGTCCGATTGTACGAAACACTCAGACACAAGTAAACGATTATCGGCGTACATAAAAGATAAGACATATTAAAACGGCTTTCATTAAAATTGAAGACAATATTTTTGTCTAGAGCTTCCGTGGACACATCCCCCGTTGTGTATCAAAAGACAAAAATGTAACAGATAGATAGGTAGTCGTTGGAAACGTTAGGCTGTTTTAAATGTGTTGAAAAATTGAAATTATTCAATCCTAAACTACTACCGTATACAATCACCATATTATCACGTCGAACCCCGGATAAAAAATGTACAGTTTTATACTGTACAAGTGACATTATTTGTTAATCAGAAAAAAAAATTACTTACAATTTTTATTTTAACTTGTAAATGGTTCTATTGATTGTCCAGAATTATTAAGTTTTCTCAACTTTAATACCCCTCGATGTAGAACTAGGTGATGTCCTACTTTTTTTCAATGCATTTTAACTAAGAACAAATTATGCTTTAACCTAATAGCCTCACCTATCAATAGAATGATGTCATTAGTGAACGAAACAAAAATGTATTTATTTAACTTTACTTCCTTGGAAATTGGAATATTTTAATAATTATGTGAATAGAATTTGTTGTATTTAATGTGTTTATATTATTGTATCATTTGTATTATTAATATTAGTTTTATTACTGTCATATTTCATATTTTTACTCTTATATATTGTATTGTACTTTGATCTTCTGATCCGCTGAAATTTAAAAGTAAATAAATAAATTTGTTATGTTGTCTATACAAATAATCAGTTGTCTCAATAATACTGCGTTTTCTTCAATCATTTTACGTATGTATATGTATTGATGAGTGACTCAATTTTTCAGCAAACCAAGCATTATTTCATGTTTTTTTTTTTACATTTTTTTTGCTTCTTCATCAGTAGGTACCGGCCGCAATCAGCTTTAGTTATCATAATTTTGTCTCAGTTTGGCTCACGAAGACGGTTGTAAAAATCCTTTAAATATAGTGTTGACATCGCTCGGTTGACGTTATAGAATTAATTAATCAATAATTATCCATACAAATATTATCTCTCTATCAATTAACAAATTAACTATTTATTGATTAAAAATAAAATGTATAAAAAACAATAGGTAGGTAATAAGGATTGATTATCCGGAATACAATGTATATAATACATTGAAAAATAAAATTATTTTGTAGGTACCAGGTATAATATTTCGGTACAAAAGAATAAAATATTGGATTTATTTTAATTGTACAGAAGTAGAACGTGACCTCTTCTAGGACCAAGCTCGTATATTAAACACTAGAATATAGTATGCAATATGCATACATATACTTATACTCTGAATAGGCATTGTGATGCCTAGGGCCTACACATTTTTTTACAAAGTAGTTAGCGATGATCAAAATTATATATTAGATGGATGTCGGATGTATAGCTTTCGAAAAAATAATAAGGCAAGTATTCGATACTAAAATAAACATGTTATAATAAAATAATATTATTTTAATTTAACGTAGGTATATATATGTCGTTAATTTAAAATGGCTTATTATACAACAATTTCATACTGTAGCTTCATTTAGGATATGTATTTGTTTAAATACTAAATAATCATTATAGATATGTGTCAAAATAAATAAATAAGTTAGTCAAGCTTAATTGTTTAAAATAGTAGCTCTTAAAATTAAAATAAGTTAATAAGTTATGGTTTATGAATGATTTATATTTTGCATTTTTCTACGATTTCCTACTTATTATTTTAGTTTTTAGACTACTAATAACATATAGGTTATAAGTTATAAGCATTCTAGCATTAGAGTTGATTATGATTATTGTGTGACTTAGTGTGAGTTAAGTATAATTTGATATTTATAAATATGTATAATATTACAAGCTTATAATATAAATATATAATATATCACGGATCTTCTACTTTTATATATGTACTTATAAGTTATAAGTGTGATATAATATTTACTTCAAATATTATAATATTATAATTTATTGTATAAGTAAAGAAGTCAATTCAGATACAAAGAAACAAATAATTATTAATCATCATTTTCTTCACCTCCCACTGGAGGACAGATCTTTCCAACATTTATAACAATATATATTTATAATATGATGTATATCACTTATAAATTAATACAAAAATAATAATAATAATAATTCTTTTTTTATTAATCATTGATCGGATACACTTTTCGCAAAAATTTTAAGACTAAAAGATTAAGATTTAGAAAAATGTTTTAACGATCAAAGTCCATGTTTAAAAATTCAGCCCCCCTCCCATCATAACAAAATCATTTGACTACCCATCGGTTTAGCTAGGTTTCTATATAATAAACGAAAATGAAATTATTATAATAATACTTTAAAAATAATATATAAATACGAATTAAATCTACGGATCCATGCTTCTAAGATTCTTTCTACAAAATATGAAATTATAACTTTAACCTTTAAGTATAAAACTATAAAAAAGCATTATTATTTATATATATATATGTTTTTTTTTTATAATTTTTGTGGTGAGAACACACTACGCTATTGTCTATGCCACCATTATGCCAAATGATGACCAAGAAACCTTGAACAAAAAAAATAATATTAAACTTCACATATTTACCTATTTTAAAAGTCAAGACTAATTTAAACTGCATGATAATGTTAAAAATTATGCGTCATGATGAGTTATATGCTTACGGCTTATGATTCATAATCTGTGGTAGGTACACAGTGTAATCGATAAATATTGTGAATACACATTTATACTCATTCGATTATCATTTTATCACTTAATACCGTCAGTACAACACAATTTTTACCTTTGTAAACACATTATGTTCAATATATGCAATAAAATATTGTGAATTTTTCTCAAATTCTATTTAACTTTCAGTTATAATTGTAATTATTTTTTATAATTTTTTTAGTTTGATTATTGAAATTGTATAATGCATATACTTAACTAATAACTAGGTATAACATAAAATGTTGTATTGGTTTTTTTAAAAATATGTATTATAATACAGTACAGTTAAATACTTAAATTCTACGTCTTGATTGTACTGAACAAAACATTGTTATGAGTTACCAACGTTTTAAGGACAACACGATTTGGTATGATTCAATGATACATTGGTATTACATCAAGAGGACGTGATGTCCACGTGTGTTATCCTTGTCTTGCAAACGTGGAACATAGCAAATTTGCATTTCGCAGAATCCGTTTGTGTTGTAACTTTTAATAACACAGTAAATTGACCTGTTATCAAATTTAAAGGTAAGAATATTATCTATGTTCTATTATCGGGTTTTATTTTTAATTATTATTTTAATTTTAAATCGAGTTACGAGCATTTTAAAATTTTAATATTTTACTAACTTGCAAGGCCCGTTTTATAGCCCCGTATACCGTACGCGTGACAGTGAAACGGGCTTTATCACTTGCTTTAAAATTAAATTATTAAAAAAAACTGTTAAGAGAACACAGATATTCTTACCTTAACATTTTTAATAAGTCAATTTACTGTAATATTAAGACTTACAACACAAAATGGTTTCTTCGAAATGCAAATTTGCTTTGTACTACGTTTGTAAGATATTCAAACAACACATGCTGATATCAAGTGTTTTTAATTTGAATAATTTTTTTAATAACGTATAAAGCTTGATACAATAAAAAAATTTTCGAATTAAGTTCGGTAATTTCATATATTTACTTCTTAAAGTAATTGTTTAATTTTAGTATATTATAATATTAAAAGTATTTGGAAATATATATATTTAGGTACCTACCTAGTACCTATACCTATATCTTAAAAAGAATTTTTTTTTGCTTTCTGCTCTAATACCTATAATAAAATAATAATAAATAAATAAAGCTAATTGCTATATACATTGAGTTACAATATTTGTCTTCATGATCCATTTTTATAAATTTTACTAAGATCATTAATTTTATCTTAATACTTTCCTCATATAGTATCTATCTAAGCATACTTAAATGTAGTTGGAAATTTAGTTATCTACCTATTTTAAAACAATATAGTTAATAAAATAAGTTATATTATGAAGTATAAAATATGAACCTATAATGTTCTAATCCAAAAGTCATAATTCTGTTTATATGTATAACTATAGTCGTTTGGAAAAGCAAAATGTTAAGAAAACTGATAAACCGCGCTGTATTAATGTTGCTGTTGTTGGACTTTCTGGCGCAGAGAAAGAAAAAGGAGCAGTGGGAATTGGGAAATCATGCCTTTGTAATAGATTTATGAGATCATCATCTAATGACTTCGAAGATGATCATAATTCTTTACTAAGCAATGTAATAGTTTATACATATGAAATTATGAATCACAAAATAGACAATAATACATTAATTTAATATAAACATACATGTAATTCTGTTTCTATATTTAGTCTGATTTTAGTGGACGAGTTGTTAATAATGATAATTTTTTATACTGGGGAGAAGTTATGAAAACATCTGAAGAAGGTACTGAATACACATTTCGTGTAATTGAACAAACTGAATTTTTAGATGATTCAACATTTCAACCGTTTAATGGTAAATAACCCATTTCGTTTTAGCTATTTATATACATCTGTAAAGGTTTAAAGTATAAACAATGTTGGTCCAGTCCAGGCTAGTCTATCTGAGAGTCTGGGACTTTTTTATTTATTTATATTAAGGCCAAACTTAGTACATGTATGCCTTTGAGGGGATCATAGCTTGTTTAATATCATTGTACCAGGAGCATTTAAAAAAAATAATAACTTAAAGGTTTGAAAAAAAATCGAGTTAATCCGTTATTAATTAGAACTGTACCTATAGATTATATTTTTTTGTGTAATAATATTAATTTTATTATTAAAGGTCAAAACTACTATCTTTAAATTTATTTGATACCATACGGCATACATGCATTTTATTTAAGAAAAAAAATGCTATGTTAAATATTTTTTAAATTATTATATATGTATACATTTTTAAGGAGTTAAAATGGACCCATACATCAAACGTTGCGTGGCCACTAAAATTGAATCAGCTGAAAAATTAATGTACATTTGTAGAAGCCAATTAGGTATGTTCAAAACTCTTCATATTTGAATACAAATATGTTTTAAATAGTTGAATTAATATATTTTATTTTATTTCTAATGTATCCTAATATAATATATTATTATATACATTTTTATGAATAGTCGAGATTAAAAAAAAGTATTTTTTTCAATATTGTTCTAACATATTATTCCATTGATTTCAGGCATTGAAGAAAAATTTGAACAAAAAGTGTTACCTCCCGGTAAATTCAATGTTGATGGTTTTTTATGCGTGTTTGATGTCAGTGAAGTTCCTGGTCGTAGTATAGAAAAACAATTAGAAACTGTGACTACTATATTAAAAAATATAAAGGATACAAAAAAACCTGTGGTATTAGTAACTACCAAAAATGATAAATTAAATGAAGCATATGTTCAAGAAGTTCAAAAACTTGTATCTCGTAACGAATTTAAGAAAGCTATACCAATCGTTGAAACATCTGCTTATCTGAATGTTAATGTTGATGCCGCTTTTATTGCTCTAGCTCATATTATTGATAGATTTAAAGGCCGTACAAAAATAGTTCCTTATTTGGAATCTATTAAAAACTACTATTGATGCAAACCAGACGTTGGTGCAATTACAAGTAAATACAGAAATGTTTATCATTTTCTATTAACGTAGTACCTAACTACGAATAACATTTTTTTTTACTTATCTCTTAAGGCATGTATAAATTGTAATTGTTCAATAGTTATACCTACACTATAAAATGGAATTAAATTTTAGTTAGTAGGTAACCTAAATTCTTATTTCAATTTATTATAATCCACTGTATAATTTGTATTAATATAAGCATTTAATTATTATTCATTGAGTTGTAAGCAATTAATGAATTTCTAAGAACTTGAATTTATGTAAACATTTAAGTTGAAATTAAGTACAAAACACTAGATTTTTCTTAAACTGTGTGAAACGTAAGCATATAATCAAATTAATAGTTACAATCGTAATTATTAATTAACTTCGGCTTCAATTATATGAATTTAGAATTAAAATAATTAGAATGGTGGAAAGATGTGTTAAGGTCTCAATAAGTCAACTACTACAATTTTCATGGATACCCGGCAAATGACAACGAAACTTACCATTTGATCGTTTAACTTAACCGCCTACCTGAGCGATAGACCATGAATGATTCGTGAATAGTTTTGGCATTTTGGGTCAATCTTTGCCGATGAATAACGGATAGCGAATGACGAATAACTCCTACACGCTATTCACAAATTTGTACAAATCGCACAAAAATTACAAGTTTATTCATCATATAATTAATTGTTCAGTATATGATTATATGAAGATAGTCGTGGATAATGACATAATGTAGGTAGATATCTGTGTTGTATTACTCGACGAAGTTAATAAATACACATACTACTACAAATGCTATATATTTTAAACATTGGTACCTTAGATCATATATATGATATATATGATATATATATCATATATATCATGTATATGATCTAAGATTGGTACCAAATAAAATCCATGTTAAAAATATATTGTCATACGTGGATCACATTTCATGTTGACATGTGTCACTTAAAATTAAAAATAATAATTCAATTGCAGATTGTGTACGCTCAACATTCGTGTTTTTAATTTTTATGACATGGGGTTTAAATAAATCTGAAAAAAATGTACAGATTTTTTCAGTTACCTACTATGTATTATGACCTGTCAGTGAATTATATTGTCTTCATTTAATGTTCTTTTGTTTTTTCTGTACATTGAAATGAGATGGTTTGTTGGCCCATTGATTGTTGATAATCTTAATTTCTATTACGACTTAACAAGTATCGAGCGAATTATTGAATGTTGTAATATTTTTCGGAATACAAAATTGTATGATTGATTGATATTTGAAGCTACCATCTGAATATTTAATCTTTTGACCAAAGGTCATCGAATAAACTACGCTTCAAGTTTACAGACTGATATAATAATGTTATTACTTATTAGTGTAGGTAATGAATTTATTATACTACTAGTTCTTAACATTTTTGGTCAGTGCTTAAAATTTAAAGGGGGACTCATAGCGGATGTTGGATGAAAGAGCGTTCCACACAAAATTAACCGTCACATTACCATGGGTGCTACGCCCCTACACCCCCTCCAACAACAATCACACCTAAACAATGTTAAATTTGTTCTACAAATAAAAAAAAAACATCAAATTGGTCAATTATTATTAAATTATGAATTGAGCAAGAACCATAAAATGTTGATATGAACTATCTTGCATAATACAATTTCTTATCCCCGTATAATATAGTCATAACTTATAAGGAATTGTAACGATTAATTTTTTGATAGGTATTAAGTAAAATTATTATGGCTATTATATTTTATATTACAAAAACTGACAATTTACTAATTCACTAGTAAATGTTTCGTTACCAACATTCCGTTTCAAAAAAATAAAAGAGTAAAAGGTAAATCAAAAGTCAAAACCATTTACTATCGTCAAATGTTTATTGATAAAAAAATAATACAAACATCATGAAATAAATACTTTATATTATTTATAAGTACATTTTTTTTTACATAATCAATATAAATATAATATTTTACCAATTGTAAGACGTTTAAAGTAGCATGACCTAGCTATTTATGTTTAGGTAAAACAAATCGCAATAGTGACAACATATATATTTTCAACCAATACTGAATAGTTCTGTCTATTACAAACAACAAATTTCCTTAAAATAATATAAATCAATTTGTAAGGGAAAAACATTCAAAATGTATATCGGCAAAAATTCAGATCGATCTAACCTTGGGCTACAGCTGTTCGCTAAATTCATATCAATGTCGTCCAATTAAAAATCCTTAATAGGCAATATATCGTCGAAGTACTGATCACGTTAAGCTTAACGGTGAATACGTTATAACTAGAATAATACTTTGAAATAATAATAACTATCGTCACGTACTTTGATATAAGTGCATAAACTATATGTATTACAATTTACAATATAACATAAATATGTAGTTAGGTACTTGTTAATTCCAAAAAAGGACAGGAGAAAATTGTGCCGTATAGACGTATAGTGTATAAATGTATAAACTTATAATAGCTAATGGGTTCATACAAAACACAAATATTAAAAATCGCAATATATATTATATGTTTTATTTATTGCAAATACGAAATTGTTGTGAGTGCGTAAGCCTGATACTGGTTTTGAACTTTTGCTGTTAGGTCCCATCCAAAAAAGATTTTTCTGTAAAATACGAACATATTTAGGGTACCTATATATTGTGATACTCGATGGAGTCAGCTTATATAAATAATATCCACCATTAATATCATCAGTGGAATCTCAAGGGAAATCTTTATCGTCCCACATAACATCGAAGTATAGCTTACATATATGTATATATAGGTTCTAACAACAGTATCCGTTCGTATACATTCAATAACCTACATCGTCCTTTAGTCAAAAAATCTTATTTTTAAATCGAGTTATTAGTGAGTTTACCGGTTTTAGTTTTTTTTCTAAACATTCGTAACTCGCATTGACTTTTGAACAATATGCCACCTACGCATGAAGATATTCATTCCTAATATTTCTTCTAGAAACTATAAGACAGAATAAAATAAGTATTTATTGCAATACTTATATTATATTTTATGAATTTGTGTGTATAAAAAAAATTTAGTTATTTTATGTGTTCACATAATAGTGTAGCATAATATATTATATACTCTGCAGTACATAGAATCATATAAAATATGTTTTTTAAATTATGATTTAAAAATGTATCAACGACATCGCTATGGTTACGTAATTATATATTAACTATCGGTTCCTAGGGGAAACCTATAGGTACTGTACTCAATTCAACCACTGCTAGCAGCTGGAATACTCAGTGGAACATACTCTGTTCCATTGTACTGAGCGGTGGGTAGCATGAGATTGAACAGTGTATCAGTCGGTGGTTACGACCCGAGGATGTCCCTGATATCATTCTAGAACCAGAGCAGGAGCTCCTCTCAGATGATAGGTGCGTTTAGGAGGCGTCGACGGAAAAGCAGAGGCTAGGGTTTGGCAGGGTGGTGGAGACGATTTTCGTTAAATTTAAAAAAAAAGGTACTGTAACCCGAAGAGACCACGCGAAATCACCTAGAAACGAAAATTGTATACAGCACAAAAACTTTGTTAGTAGGTAACAATATTTCATTTGAAATATAAATATACTTTTGGGCTGGCTACAACTTTTTTTCTGACTGATTTTCGTAACGCTTATAACATTTATTATTGTTATTTGTTACCATGGTAACCCTCCCCCAAAAATATATTTATGATTTATAGATTTTCTTTTCAGAGAAAAAATATCAAGTAAGATGCTACGTTTTATTGTTTGTTTTGTAAAATATTTAGAATCACTACGTGAATAAAGTATTAATTTTTCTATTATGCATAATATAAAAATATTTTTAAAGTATTATCCAGTGTTTTAAAATAATTTATTACAATTCAAACAATAAACAACAGTAATAATACTAATAAAAAAGTGGCAAGTAGGTGTCGAGTGTAACTCTTCTCTTAGCTGTAGGTAACGGTTTTGTTAAATTTGAATTCAATGATAAATCGTTTTACAAAACTTTCCAGACCCTATGATGGGCCTGTCAGCCTATATTAGGTACCTTACTAAGTATACATTTTATTATACATCAATTAATAGTTATACACTTATACTGGAAATACTAAGGAAATTATTAATTGCAAATTAATTTATTGAGAAGATATTAGATTATATAGTAGAATATAGTAGGTTGAATATAACTGATTTGAATTTAAAAGGTATTAAAGTCATTTTGATTGTTTTATTTATTAAATTACCTATTTATTAAACTTGATGACGAATAATTTACCTAATATGAATATTTTCTTATGTCACTCCTAAACGGTATAAAAATTTGAATCCAGAAAAATGTCGATTTGAACAGCCCCTCAAAACAGCCCCTTCATTTTCACTTAGTGAGATAGATCTCCGAAACCGGAGAGGGGATTTTGTTATTTGGGATCTTTTTGAATTTATATTGACTATAGGAGAAGTGCATGAAGATTTTCAGAACTTTAACTTAAGTAATAAATTTACTACAGAGCTTTAAAAGAAATTAAAATACATTTTATTGGGTGTTTTTTGATAGTTTTCAGCTTTAAAGCTTTGTAGTAAATATAAAGTTCTCAAAATTTTCACTGTACTTCTCCTTGCTAATGTGAATCTAAAAAAACCCCAAACAACAAAATCTGTTTTCCAGTTTTGAAAATCTACTCCGCTAAATCAAAATCTAGCTGAAAATAGCTCCTTTTTTAACTGTAAAAAAATAAATTATTTTATTTTAAATTTTTTATTTTACTATTTGTTTCTACTTGACAATCGATTTTTAATGAGTTGTCAACCAACTTTCTAACTATTATAGCTTAGGAGAAAAGTTAAAGAATATAAATTTTGAGACCGTTCACGTCGACATTTTTGTGAATTAAAAATTCAAATCGTTATACCGCTTGATTGTGATATCGGATCTCTTTCATTAATATTTTATATTAAAGCTAGCTTAATTACCTCCATACTCATAATTACTGAGTTACATTTTTATTATTTTCCTTTATCTTTACACAAAATTCTTTAAGTTTTCAAGATTCAGACTTTGTTCATTTCAATTACCATACTTACTTGATTAAAAATCAAGAGATGATAAAGTCTACATGTAATAATATAATTAATAGTTATTATTTTACATTTTTACAAATGTTTTACTCAGAATTTTTTTAACTCAGACAAATATACAATATACTCTGTAAATACTAATAAAAAAAAATTAATTTAATTCTAATATACAATAATACTATACATATTATACTAACTAATACAATAAATTCTAAATAACTGTGTAAGCAATAGTAGCTAAGTATTTCTACAAGAAACCTGACACCTGTGAATAATATAGATGATAACATAATATTATGATTTATCGCTAACCTCGGAAAACTGATGCACTATCAATCGCATGCGTTTCGTTAGGCAGGAGCTGCTGGTGCGATACAAAGCTTGTTAAAGACTGGTTTCGACAGAATTTTGTTGCACTGTAGACAGTAGCACACACATCAGTTTTTGTAGAACACGGCGAGTTATAATTTATAAGGTATAACTGCATAAATTATAAATGTACAATTTCCATTCTTCAAAATTAAAAGTATAATTATTATTTTTGTGTTTATATTATATTTTTAAAAAAAAGGTTGAAGTCGATACTCAAAAGTAAAGTTTAGTGCTTACGACAAATTAAGATTTCATTCAGAATTCATATGGCTTCATTAGATCAATTAGACCAATTGGTAAACAGGTACATTGGAAATGAAACACATCTAAATTCCTTCGATCCAGGAATAGCAAGAGCGATTTGAAAATATATATTTTAATTTTCCACAACATGTAGGGGGTTCAATCGAGGCATATTTGTATGATTTTAGTTAGGTAGTTTATTCAAATATTAATGTTTGAAATTTTAGTAAATTTTTGGAAATTTTAATAACATTCATTGCAATCTAAATCACATCAGTTAAAAATGTGGCTAGATCTTTTCCTTGATATGTTAAAGAGAACTCAAATATTTTTTCAGAATAAAAATAGTGATAATTGTCGATACGTACCTACGTATCGTTGGAATTAGTAGTTTTTGACAAAAAAACGAGCATTCATGAGGCCTATTAAGATTAGACATATAAATCTAAGTCGTAATCAATAGTTATAGATATTATTTCAATTACTACTTAGTGCCTACAAAAATTATTTTTGATTTTTTTTAAATTTTGCATCAATATATGCAATACATTTTGAATTCCGTAAAAATATGTAATAACCATTAAATATTCAGAAATATGCAAAAAAAAGTCAAGTCACTTCAAACTATTATGATTCGTAAAGATTACTGACAAAAATCCAAAAATATGCAATTTAATAGAAATCCGTGCTTTAAATTATAATGTAGGTACTCGTATGTAAGTGTGTTCAACTAAAAAAGAAAATAATTTTAAGTGATAAAGTTATAATTTATTTTATTCAAAATAGTAAGGTAGGAAAAATTGGTCTTGGGAAATCGAAGATTTGTGAATTATTTTTTGTACTATTGTTACTGTGCTTTTAATTCTGCCATGCTACCGTCGCTTCCTATACTGCATGGGATGTTGGGATGTAGATTTAAAAAAGTACTTTGCGATGGTAGATATAGGTATCTACAATTTTTTTTCAAGGCTAAGATAAAATTAATGATCAGGTGTGTAAAGGGTTTTAACTTTTATCAAATAAATAATTATTATAATTACTCAGATTAGTTCGGTATTACATATTCTTATTATCACTCGAGTCTCAATTACTAACCGTTACTTATTAGTTATTTAAATCAACGTTGATAACAATTTAATTAAGCATAATATTATGACGTATTTGTATTATCTATACCGAGTATTATTATTATTGAAATACGATCTAATGGTTCTATAGTCGTGTGCAATCTTTGTCAACATCAACACATCGTGACAATTATAAGCTACACAACGCGCAGAAATACACGTAGCCACGTAGGTACCTGTGGGTAGGCGACGACATTGTTATTAAATTATTATGTCGTAAACACTGAGAAAAAAGTAAAAACATTGTAAATTGCACGCAGTCTGATATTCTGATGGGCATTTCGCGAGGAAAAAACAAATTCAGAGGCGGCCCACCCGACGACCAAGGCTGACTGATAACACTGGTCGGCAGGTGGCGGTGGCGGCGACGGCGGCGGCGGCGCAGTGGTGCCACCCGGGGCGGCCGCAGTTCAGTGATCCGACGGGGGCCATGAACACAACCGCAGACGTCGAGCCCAGCCGCGGTCCAATCGAAGATGTAATCAAAAGGCTGACGAGAAGTCGAGGAATTGGATCGCTGCTGCCGTTTTCGTCGTCGTCGTCGTTTGCGTTTATGGTGAGTTGGGCCACGGCGTGTCCTGGTCTAGGTCGGAGGCGGCGTGTCTCTGTCTGTCCGCCGGACGCCTTTGTCCAGTCCCCCGTGCTTTCGGGCCGCAATAGTAACGGTGGACATCTCCAAAAAGGCTTGCTCTGGCCGTGGAGATAGTCCCTATCGTTCAACCCGGTGACGATGGCAAGTCCAGTACATTTGTGTACTAATGGAAATTGTGTGTGTGTGTGTGTGTGTGTGTATGTGTGCGTGTGTGAAATATTTGAATGGATGTGTATAAGCTGCATGTGTGTATGTGATAGTGTTTGTGTGTTTGGTAGTGTGTGCGAGTCGTAGACCATAATGTGGATGTCAATGTTGATTGATAAACATCTATATTATGTCTATGGTGCGATTGGTTGCCTCGACAGTCGAGTTGTGGTCGTAGGTATTATACGGCCGGAAAGTTTGAGACTGTGTTTACAGACACTTGTTTCCGGATGTCGAACGCTGATTTAGGCGCAACAACCCTGTTTAGGATCACTGGTCTTGCGTTTGATGTTTTGTTCACTATCAGTAGTACAGTCTATCCACAGAAAAGTTCTAATAGTTTGTCCAGAGTAGAATATCTATGGTATGACTATTCCATACATCTATTGTAGGTGGCTAGTAGACTGCTCGATTGACTAGTTAGAAAGTACCTATTGTTATTGATAGGTATTGAAACAGTTTTATGGGTTTTAACTATATTGTATTATTTGCAGGATTATTCGACAATGAATAGCTGACAAAATGTTGCAGATCAAAAAGGAATCTGTGAGAAATTTACTGTCATTTTTTTATATTTTTACATACATTTAATTAGAATATAGAATTGTTCTTAATATTGATTTCTTTTATCTCTGAAAATAACATGATTGTTATCAACTGATCAATTGTAACTATAAAGTAGTATGTATATTTCTTGAGAATAGAAAAATACTAAACACTTTTATTCATTTATCATAACATTTTTAATTTATTTTTAAAAATTATCCATAACAAAACTAAATAATAAAAGATCTTCTATAACATAAGTACATTTATGCTGGGTTGCATGAAAAAATTATTAATTTAATGGACCAATCATTGGCCGCTAAACCGTGTTTAAGGGATCAATAGCCCACTATTGATTTGTTAAATGTTTAGTGATTGTTCATGCAATCTGGCATTAATATATTAATATTTTTCAATATCCATATCATTTTCCTGTATCTATTATAATTTTTAAGTTCAAATTATATTGATAAAACACTTGGCGCCTAAACAATTGATTTTTGATAATTTGCTATTTTTTGGTTGCCTATTGATTGAATTATGGTTATTTGGACTTTTAAAATCAAACAAAACCATAAATATATATTTTTCCATCTTTCTAATAAGGTATTGCACCTGCCTAAATATTATCACTTTTCATTTTTAATAAGTAACTTATGAGGGCAAATTTCCATCAATACTGATAAAATATATTTAAATATGTATATGCAGGTACTTACCTAATAAGTATACATCAGTTTATAAATTCAATTTTAATTTTTGGTCCAAGATAATTTGTTTAGAATTTTATGTTTTTTAACTCCAGATCAAACTTAAATGGTACAAGTATCCTTTTTTACACTTATTATACAAAAAAGAATCTATTGTAGAGTGAAATTGATTTTAGTCTTACCATTGATATTGTATATTTTTTAGATTAAAAGGGAGAGCCCCGAGGCCCCTACTCCTGATAGTACAACTGTTGAAAGCAAGAGTTATATTTGTGGAGAAGAAGTATTGGTTCATTTAAATGATGAACGATTTTATTTAGGATTTATAGCAAAAGTAAATAATATTTAATTATATGTTTTTCAATTAAGTATAAACTTGCCATATACTAACATTATTTTTTACTTTTAGTTGAGGTATAAAGAATCTAAATGTTTAGTTAAGTTTGGTGATAATACAGTAAAATGGGTATTCTTAAAAAATGTTACACGGATGACATGTACGAGTACGACTACCCAATTTTGCAATGTGTGCAATATCGAGGCTATGCCAGATGATATTTGTGTATGTGATAAATGTGCTAATGTATACCATCGTAAATGTCACAAGGTAAATATAATTTTTACTACCCACTATTCAAATATAAAAAAGGCGGGTTGATAAAAATTTGTTGTAAAATCTTTTAAACAGTTATTAAAAAATAGTAATTTTCATATTATAAACTATAATAAGACATAAAAAACAAAACTATTAATTTTGTTCATTGGTCCATCAGTAATCATGCTAATCTTCAATATTTTTTATCAACATGTATTTTACTGATATATTTATGTTCTAACTCTTATATCATACAGTTAAGGAGATTCCACCCAGTGATTTACCCTTGTGTTAGGCAAAGACAAAATCACTGAGTGGAATCCCCTTAATAGAATGTACCTAATAACATGAAATAATAATACAGTATGATGTATATATTGTAATTTATTGCTTTTTGTTAGAGTGACATCAAATTGTATTACTTGTTTTTCAACTGTGTTGATAATTCTTATTGGCTACTGCTCCATTTTTGATTTATATTAAATTAATATTTGTCTTATTAAAAAGAAATATTAAATGTTATTTAATTCAGCAATATACAAGTTCTTTGGTAATTATGTAGGTATTGTTTATTTTATGTGTGGGATATTGATTGTTCTATTAAATTGTTATTAGGTTTAATTGATAAAAAATATTTATTTAATATTTATTACATATTTATGCTAATGCAATTTGTATTAACTATTAAATGTATCTATAAAAAATAAGATAAGATCAATAATGGTTCTATTTTTTCAGCCGGAAGTTGAAGTTACAGATATTACTGTATGGATATGTTTTCAATGTAAGGAAAAACAACAGATTAATAGACTGCAAGTTACAAATTCTGTATCGAGCACAATTGTTCCAAAAGTTGTTAAACTACCTTATGATGTATGTTTTCTGTATTATTAGAATTCTAATTTTTATTATTAGTCAACAGTGCTCGGATTAAAATTCCCTTTAAAAAAATGCATTTATTACCCATAAATTTCAAAAATGCCAAAAAAAATACAAGTCAAAAAAATTAATTATTAACTAATAAATCATACTATTTTATTTTCAAATAACAAAAATGTTATACTGATGAAATACATACCCGTTAAAATTGTGTGTAATAAAAGTTTAACATATTCAGACTACAAGTATAAAAATAAATGAGTGGAATAAATTTCATTACCATATTCTTTTACAATTCCTCATAATCACTAAATTTAATTTTTAATTCAAAATCTACTCTGTGCATATAAAAAATAAAATGTAAACACTTGTGGAACAGCTAGAGGTATCTTACAATCAGCCATATGCACTACTGACACAATATTATTGCATGATAAGAAAATATTTCTTACAAAACACAAAATACTGAGCAAAGAAACACGAGTGTGTACAATTAACATTTTAGTACATGCTTTATGTGTTGATATCTTAGATACAATTTGTATGTGATCGACTAATTGGTTGGAGCCTTATTTTATAATTTTATTTAAAACCATATATTCAGTGTTAGTACAAAATTAAAATAATATTTTTATAAGTTTCAATCTTAAACCCCTTTTTTTTTTTGATCATTATTTCTGCAATAAATAGATAAAATGACCAATAAATTTAAAAATGTATGCAAATCCATTGAAATCCTAGCCCTAATAAATAATTTAATCTCTTCATTTAAAATAATTATTATTTTTTAGTTGAACGCTTTACAATGGGATATACATCACCGAATTAACAATTTAGGAACCTATTGCTATTGTGGAGGACCGGGTGACTGGTTCATAAATATGCTGCAATGTGGTAAATGTTTACAATGGTTTCATGAAAAATGTGTCACTTCATTGATATATCCTCTGTATCTCGGCGATAGGTAAGCTAAAACAATCTATTTGAATAAAATATTTGCAAAAAACTCTTCTATCTATAGAAAATTAAAAAACTAAAAATCACCTTTATATTTACTTCATGTTTTGTTTAACTAACTAGTTATTTATATTATTTAATATAATACAATTCTCAACTTGAATAAATTGCATTTAAGTCATTTATTTACTGTTTAGTCTTACTAGAATGTTAATATTCATTTTTTTTAAACAAATATTATTTATAGCCTTAATTAAACAATAGTTAAATATTTTTAATTTTAGTAACCTCCATTTTTATTTATTAAGTATAAGTACATTTTGATTATCTAATTTTTTAGTTTTACTTAAACTTTTGTATTTAGTACTTATTTGGGGGGGTGAACAATTGACACAATCTTATTACATTGTAATTATTCACTTAAAATATTTTTGTTTCAGGTTCTATGTCTTTTTGTGTTCAGTGTGCAATGTGGGTACAGAATTTGTACGTCGTATTGAATTGGAATGGTCAGATTTAGTTCATCTTGCTCTTTTTAATATGACAGCTTATAAACCACAGAAATATTATGATGTGGACATAAATATACTTCCATATTTAGATAACCATTGGACTTCAATGTATCTACCTCCTAAAGTATGTTTTATTTTCCATAGTAAATAAGTTATTCTGATAAAAACTAATAAATAAAGTTGTAAAACCATAATTTAAACTTTCTTAGTCTGCCATACGGCACATGGGATAAATAAATACTTCGGACATATTTGTATTGTGCATAAGAAATTAAATAATATACGTGGATGTTAGCCTCAATAGCCTTAAAGAATACACTTATAAATGAACTGTTTCTGATTTCATATTATTTTTGTACATTTGATATTGTCTGAAGTATGAGGTTGACGATTAATTTCTGCGGGGTTAGGATGATTTGAAAAAAAAATTTGAGGTTCAGAAAAACTTTGTGCTTAGTAAGTTATTTTAGGTCTACAAAGACAAATAATGAAATAAAAATCAATATTAAAGTAAAGTATTTTTTGGACAGTCAATTTATTTTCCCACCACAACCCAGATGCAGGCTGCCGCCTATTGCTGACCCCTGATGTAATGGGGTTATGTTTACTGTTATCTGTAAGTTTTTACCCTGTGCTCCAATAAGTGGTCAGTTTTATTTTTGTTATTGTGTATTTTATTTTTTGATATGGACAAACTTTTTGTTTGGCTAACCATATTGAATATAATATAATATAGACTTATCAAACAAGTGTCAGGGTATGCTTTGATGTTGCCCTTGATAAATCAATATTTTCAGATCAATTTACTACTCAATACTAATAATTTGTGAAATAAATTTTTGTTATCAGTTTATCACATAGTTTTTAGTTGTACGGTTTCCTTATCAATTTTTTAATATCTAACTATAGGTTATAGTTAAGAGTAATTAGTTATATTAAAATACTTTTGAAAAATATATTGTGCTAATATTATATTGGTATTACAATTTTTTACAGATTCTTAATGTTCCTGTTGATGACAGGAAAGTTTATGTTGTCAATTCCCTGCTCAAAGACACCAATCAGTTAGTATATAATTTAAATTATCAATAAACCTATTATGTCATAATATTTTTCAGTTTTGAAAACTAAATGGTTTACCATGTGTATATATATTATGATATAATTTGCTTTGCATTGTAACTTCTATTAAATATTTATATTAAATTTGATTATTTATATTTGTCCACTTTACAGTAGGTTTGAATTCCAGGGTAAAAAACCCACCAACATGTGGGGACTCCGACTGAAGTTGCCACCTAAGCCCCCACGTTTTACGTTACCCGCAGAAGTTCCAATTAATGAGAATCTTTTGCATCACCAATTGCGCAATAAACTTAACCTCAATATATTACCACCTCCAAAAAAGTAAGTATTTTAATATCAAAAAAGTTTTATATCCTAATTTATTTTGGCCAATCAAAAAATCTGTTGTACTAATTTTTATCAACATTTTTAGATAATCAATTTGTAGAACTTATTAATAATATTAAATTCTATTTAAATTCAGCTAACAACAACTGATTTAATAGATTTGTTTTTTAAATTATTTTCTGTATGAATTTGAAGCCGGAGAAGGTTCTTGATAATACTGTTGCCTCATCTGTTCACCATCTGTTATTTACCTAATTAAAAATTAAGTTCCACAAAATGGTTATTTAAAAATTGATGTTTCATACTATTGGAAAATTGAATTTAAAAGTTTTGATTTGTTGTGGAAATATTTAGTTTAATATTGAGCATAAATTTAACTTGATATATTTAATTTAAATTATCTTAGGACTGATCTTGTAATAAATGAACGACTTACTGAGTCAATGTATTCAGTGGAAGGATTGAAATTTTTACATCAAGATTCACATGTTGTGATGTTACCAAAAGGCCTTCCATCAATTGGACATAATGTAAGTATTGAATATTTATTCTTTGTAAAAAAAATGATGTAAATCACAATTGGCTATGTTAATCTAACATTCAACTTCGAACATTTTATATCCTCTAGTAAACCAAAAACTGTAAAATTGTAATAATTGTTGATAGTGAACATTTTGTAAAATCAGACATTTCTCCTATCTCGCTTTCCCAATATTGACATCTTTATATCAGATAACATTAGTTTATTAGCCATTTATATTTATTAAAATTTATCATATAGACTAATAATATTTAAAATTGAGTTATCATCCCAATATAATGTAAATTAATGTTATATTGATTACTTATGAATTACTTTAATTTTTTGATCTATTCTTAAGCCTAGTCCAGACCAAGAAACATATATTTCTGACATTTTCATTGGTAAATATTTAGGTTACCGTTTATAACAGAAAATCAAAAATTTTCACTTAGTAAAAATAACTTTGTAATAGAATGCAAGGGTCCTCATAAGATGCTTAAAAAGTAGTTCAATAGTATGAAAGATACATAGATTATTTTTTATATGCATTTAAAATTCACATTTGGACAAAATTCATTAAACAATTTCTTTTCATTACTCCTCACATTAAAATTTTTAGTCAAAGATTCCCCATAAGTTCTACAATTAACAAAAAAAAAGTTTACCGGGAAGTAACAATTATTTTTTACGAGTGTTTGAATTTTTTAAATTTTTACAATATTTGCCATTCAGTCATTTTTGAAATTTGATTATCTGCACATAAATGATAGGATGACAGTCTCCGCTCAGAATTATTTTTTCGTACTCAATGACTTATCATTGAATTTAAATCTAACACATCCATTGTAATGACTTGTCCACCTTTTTAAATTTGTTATTAACTTCCATTATGTATTTTTGATATTGCTTATATTTTTTGTATACGTCATATCTAAACTACAGAAATTTTTTTTCATAATTTTTATTATACTTATAAATTCTAATTGTATGCTCTTTTCAACTAAACATCAAATAACTTGCACTTATTATTGATATGTAGCGCTTAATGTAACATTTGTAACATTAATATATCATTTTAATGGTAAGAACTAATAAACAATAATAATTTTATATTTATGTTAATAGACATAGTTTTAAATACCTACTAGTGCTACTACTATAGCTTGATTTTTTTTAATTTTTATATTTTATGTGTCTTAGGTATGTATTAAAAGTGCCAGTCCAATTGTACCTGTTCCAAGATCTGTAATTGAAAGACGGATTAGGCAACAACAAATAGAGACAAATAAACGAAGTTCTCGAAGTTCGAGTGTGGTTACTAATAAAGTTAAAGTAATATTTATTTAAGTTTTTGTTTGACTCAATTTTATTTTATTAAAATTTTAGAAATCAATAAAAAAAGAAAAAGTTCCTGAAAGCCGATCACCGTTCGATCTCAGTTCAACTGAGAGCACTCCAGAAAAATATATATCGGCATCTGAAGAAGAACTGACTAGTGAAGATGAACCAGATGATGATGAAGACCTTGATGACGAAGATGATGTTGATTTGTTGCGTACAACGGACCTTCAAAGCCGCCGTAGTCAGAGACTTAGACTTAGTGTTAACCGTTTATTAAATGGACGGCCTATAGCTAGATCATCGCTTCCTCGTGAGACTCGTTCTGCTTCATCAATTACTTTACCACTTTCTTTAGCACCTGTAATTACTCAACCCCAAGTTCGCACTACCAAACGACGTTTAAGTGAAAAAGATTTGCGCGTTGATCGTAATGGACAGTATTTAGTTAAACGTAAGAGGTTACGTCGAAATGGCTTACAGAATAGCAGTTCGACTCCAACAAAACGCCAATCTAAGACCAACTGTAATGGTCGCCCAATGTATAAATCTTATTCAGATTTCTTTGCAAATCACAGTCACTCTGTAAATAGACCTTGTTCACCTGAGAATGCTGTAGACTCTACAGCTGATCTCAAAACTCTTGTACATTCGTATTTTGGTGCTAGTAATAGAATTGCTAATGGTGAAGAATATACTATATTATGCAAAAGAACTAACCCAGATGGGTCAGAAGAATTTTTAATTAGATGGGACTAGTATATTATTCTATATAATCGTAAACATTACAATATGATTTTTAATATATATTTCAAATTCCCATAGAAAGAAAATACAATGTTATTACAATTAATAACAAATTTTAATGATGATTGTGTAAGCTGTTATGCATCTATATTCTGTTACTATTACCAAACTTAGTATTTTACTGTTATTATCAACGTTCCTGCTTTGATTCTTAATTTCCTATTCATAGCTATTGTGATGAGAGTTGTATTAAATTTATATTGTTACAATCAATATTATATTTTTGATGGAATGTTGGCAATAATTAGTTGATACAAAAATGATTCCTATATACTAACGTGTATTAATAAAAATACATTGGATTTGGCTCAGTTTTATACCATTCAACATTATCTAAACACATTTTAGTTTTATTCTGAATAAATTGTGTTTTGGATACTGTTTTTTAAAAATTATAACTATATCTATTGTTCGGCACAAATTTGTTATACATTTGATGCCTATAATAATTTCCTACTACTTATTAATTACTTTCATAAGCTATTGAATGTGTACGGTCGCACAAGGTTTTAAGTAAAAATTTAAAAAAACAAGCGAGGAAAAAAGAACAAGTTGTATTCATTATTATTATATATTTTTTAACTTAAATTGTGTTCATATTTATAGTTTAGTGATATTGGCGCAATAGCTATGGTAATTTTTTGGGTGAAATTACCACATCACATTTTACTGGTCCTCAACCCATCCCAAAGTTATATAATTTTCTGATTTGGTAATTTAAAATTGTTCTTAAAAAGTTAACTTAATTGAATATGAAAATACATAATCCCATTAATATTATATTTATTTAATATAAAACTATTGTAATAAATTTAAATAGAAAAAATTGTTTATGATTTAAGGGTGTAATTCAATTGTTTATACCTATACTGATGGGTTATCTAGTATCATGTAGATAAATTTAGTGTAATTTGTACCTATGAAAACATTTTTAATTTTAATCGATGTAAAGAATTGTATGAGTTAAGACTGAAACATGTGTCCAAAACGTGAAAATGATTATTTCTGGTAGCGGTAGGTCATGGCATTTGAGAACTTTAAAAATAAGTGACTTTTTTATGGGTAGTTATTATAAAATGTTCTAGTGTTTTGTTCATACATTCTATGGGTTTGAAATTGTGTTGTAGATCTCGAAATTTTTTTTTTAATGCGTTTTGTATTGTTTTGAATTTTATTCCCCATAACATTGATATTTTTAACATCTTGGGGAATTTCATAAAGATATATACTCTTGTCCACCATTTAAATTAATTTTTCTTAAGAAACATATTTCAATTTGTGATGATATTTTGATATTTTTCTTTACATATAATTACATTAAAGTACAATTTTTTGCCATACATATTAAGCTTGTTCTATTCGTATTTATAACAAATACGTTTATATATTTTTTTCTATGAATGAATATTTTTTCTATGACAGGTTTTTAAGTACAAATACAGTAACTATTTGAAATATCTTATATCAAATAATCAATGTTCTCTTATGTAAAATTATCAATGATTAATTATGTAAATTATCACTGCCATTGAGATGACTGTTAATTATATCATTTAGGCTTTACATTTTGGTTTGGCTACCTGAAATTATAATTTTAAACATTTTTTTTTTTATTTTCTTCGACATAAATATGATGCATGTTCCTATAAATATTATTTTCAATACAAATACATTAATTTAGTTTTCCAAATCATACATGGTATGAAGTAAAAACTCAATATTATCTTAAATAGTGTATAATGCATTTATTATCTATTTATAATTTTGTATGTTTAATTAAGTCTGCAATACCGCTTTTATACCTTAGAACGAATTATTATTATTATTTTTTTTTTTGCCCCAATTTCTTAATATAACTATAATTAAAATGTAGTTGTGTAGCCTTATTATAGATGATAAATACCTTTTCAGAACCCAATAAATCTTAATGTGTGATGATTTATGATTATTTATTATAATAAAAATAATTCTTGTCAATGTATTTAAAGAATTTTGTTTTAAAGGAATTGTGACATTTAATTATAAAGGATTATTTATTAATATATAAACATGTATGAATATATATTTATATACATATATTATTATGTGATTGTACCTATGTATTTTTAATAGAATGTAAGGAAAGGCGTTTGAGGAATAGAAATACAAGTTTTTTACTTATACCTAATGAATTATTCACACTAAAATAATATACATATATTTTGTATTTATATTTCTGCAATATGTGTAAATCAAACAGTGATTCTATGATGTGAAAAAATATTTTTACATCAGTAATTTCTATTAAAAGTCCCATATTTGTAAATTGTTAATGATTTCAGTCTTATGCCAAATTTCTGCATGGCCAATACATCTTTGTTATTCTTAAAGTGATTTAGTTAAAAAAATGTTCAATTTGTTCAGTATAAGTAATAAAACAGCCGTTTCTGTGTAACAAAACTTTTTTAATGTACACAGAAGTAGGGAAATGGGTATGGTATCCTCTAAGGTATCTCATTGATTTGTCGATAATAGCGAGATGTATATTTTAAGTCGGAAATTGCACCACTTTCAAATAGGTACTTGTCTTAATAAAATATTTTGTGATTATCCTTAATGAATATAATATTTTTTATGTATTCAAATAGTATTTACATATGAATATGTGTGTATTATATTATAAAAATATACAATTGAGAGAAATAAGTTGAATTTCATTAGAACGTGAGATATGCAAGTCTTGAAGTTGGCATATCAATAATAGTTTAAGAACAAAATCTTTGAATAATATTTTAATTATATATGATATACCTTCTTTTTTTATTATTTTAATTTAAGTTTGTGAATGAAAATCTATTGTTTTAATAATTGGCTTAACAGATCTACTTCTGAATTTTAATTATTTTATGATTTTTTTCTAGATTTATAATATATAAATATAGCAAAGTTTTGGATAAATCACAATATCATTTAGAATTATTTCTATTGTCGCTACTTTGAATATTGTGATTACCATTATAATATGACTGTTACCTATTTAATAGTAATTGTATTTTTGTTACCTATCCATCATCTATATTAATCTTTTATTTATTTGGTGCCTGTCTTCCAATATGCGGTCTACATCTACCGCAAAATGTATTCTATCGGCCGCCGCTGTTTCCGGTACACTGCGGTCTACCTATCGATTTTCATTCGGCCACTAATATTATGGTCACTGGCTTATGATATTATGATGAAATAATTTTTTTTCCTTTATCCAAGAACAACATTTATTACCACGTGGATTTTTGCCAAAAATATGTAGGCTAAAGATTTTAATTCGATTATCAATAGTGATGAGTCGAGTCTGTTACTACTTTTTTAATTAATAAATATAGTATGGCCAAGAACTACTAGAGTCTAGAATATTCAGAGTGTTATAAATGAGAAAGTGACGTAAATTTCCATGTAACTTTTCCACGTACTTATTTCTTCAGACAGGAATAGTAGGTTCGCTGTAAGAATGTGCAAACATTTGCATAGGTACTTCTTTACCTTTAGTCAATCGGTTGGGAAATGTATCCCATTGAGCAATACGTACGCAGCACTTTTCGGCCTATATAATTTAATAGGTAGGTTGGTATATGAATATGGTGACATAATATTTTCTGTAGTGTTAACAAACTTTTAAACAACGACGTCTTTATTCGTTTATACATATATTGAAAGGATGATAACAGTAAACTTAAACATGAATGACTTTATTAACACAAACTAATTAACACAAAAGGTAGTCAAACAACTTTACTGTGAACAAATACATCGACCGAAACGGCGGTTTTTCAGACTCGACGGACGGTTGAGGCGCCTGGCACCTGTACTGCCCTGTGTGATATTATACAAATAATGATGCTAAGCTAACAGCACTACAATAGGTACCTATACCGACCTCATTAGGTAATAATAATATTAAAGATTAACTCCAAAGTTTGAGGATGGCATCAGTGTGTCGGTGGGCGGTGATGTATTTTGAATCAGTGAACGACTTCTTATAAAATGTATGTCTAGCTGGACTTTGGACAACTAGATAAATGCATTCAAAACCAATCGGTTTTGAAAGTTAAGCCTTATCGTAAAATATTAGATGCACACGTTTAATTCTAAATTTACTTACAGTTACAGTAGTACCTATTGGTATAAGACATAAGTAGGTACACTCTACACACCAACTATAGGTACCTATGAAAAAAAAGTACCTAGTTAGTCTTTACCTGTGACGAGTCAGCCGTCTTGGGGATTAAATCATGCTCACGCTTGTTACCTATATTACGCCCCTGCTACACAACGACAATGATATTATATATTAATATAAGTAAACACTACCCGTCATAAATATTAAAAAAATAACAGCTAATATATAGGTATACCAACGACCTACCTAGTCGAATATTGTCGGCCTGTTATTTTTGCTCTAACATCCACAATATGTTTTCTGCAGTCTACTCATTCATCTGATGTAGAGGATATAAGTACATACAATGAATATCTACTGACGTAGATGCACTTTATCACGCCTCTCATGAATTTTTTTTTTAAAAGATGTGGTTTTCAGCTTTGATTTCGAAACTGTTAACATTTTTTTGGTGAAACCATTATTTTGGAAGTTAGATGTATCCTTCCGAAGTTTGCGATTTTACACTACTTCACTGCCTCGCTGTAGCAACTTAAGATTATAATATACATACGTAGTTAAATTAATTCAACAGACTAGTTATCGACTATGTTGAAATCTCCAACAACATTGTTTCGTTCCAAGACCTTCACAAGGTGGTTTTACACAACAGGTCGAGGGATATTTCAATTTTTTTGTTCAACCTTAGCGCAGCGAGCGAGTGGCAATACTAGCAGATCATGACGTGCTTGTATGTGGCAGTAAAGTAGGTAGTGTGGCGTGCACGCGTATAAACATAAAATCGTAAACTTTGGAAGACTATAACTTCCAGATTACTGATTTCTGCAAAAAAATCAAACAGTTCCGAAATCAGCGTTGAAAAACATGTCTTCTAAAAAAAAAATTCGAAATTAGCGAAGGGAGTGTTAAAGTGAATTGGTTATTTGGTTCTCCTACTGATACTGAGAAGTGGTGGACAATTTTGGACTACAAATTATTAATCGCTTATTTAATTCGTGATGTATAGTAAATATTATATTTTACAAAGTGTCTATGGGAAAATTAGGTACTTAACAACTTTAAACTAGTTATAAAAAAAAAACTTATTGGATGCCGGTAAACTTTTATTATTTATTAGTGACTAGCGCACTAACTACCTACTCATTATTTGTAGGCACAATATATATTTTGTAATAATATAGTCTACAGGCAATTTACTAATTATCTAAAATCTAAAATATACCTATTTTACGCTTAGGTATGTTCGTGTATATATAATATTAAATATATATAGTATATTACAGTGGATAGGTACCTATCTAAACTTACCGTAGCCAGAAATTTATTTTGTGGGGAGGCACTAATTTTATAATTACCGTTAGAATGATAAACCAACCGTTTTAAAATTTAAGTAGGTAAGTAGGTAATATAAAATAATAATAAATATTGTTTTATTATAGTTGGGTACCTATACCTAATGAAAATTACAACTAAATAGCTTGGCACCAGAAATTATAGGTAGATAGGTAGGTACTTAATTAAATTGAATAAGGCATGACGAAGAAAATAATACCTAATAATCAAGTTCAATTTGGAAACCTAATCGACTTTATTTTATCGAGACAAATAAATCAATCATTTTTCGATATTTACTTCGTCGGCCCGTGAATATATTCAATAAGTGGTGCCAAATCATTAATTCGATTTTCACTTCTAGAATTTATCAAATAGGTTTAACATATGTTTTGATATGACGCTTCAGACTACGGAAGCTGTTATTACAGCCCACAGGTAAAATTGAGTTTATTTTCAATAATGTTTTGACATTAAGAAAGATATATCTAATAATATATAATAATGCATACAGTTTGGGTTAGTTGATGCTGTTTTTTCACTCTTCCATTTAATTTGTCGCTATCTACTCAAATTCTCCGTTAAATATTTATGTAGGTACTACCATAGGTCTAAAGAATTTTAATAGATATTTTATTTAAATTTTGTGTATAAGAATCATAAGCCAGTTTAACGCAGTGGTGCAACTCGATAACAATGTGAAAATGTCCAGACTGGGTCCCTTACTTTCAAATAAAACCGAAACAACGGTCCTTATTATCTATAACTTTAAAATAAATGATTTTTTAGTGCGTCATAGTTAATATTTTAATAATTATTATTTGAATATATTTGTAAAATTTAACATTTCGTGTTTTCATGGCAGAAAAATTATAAATAATTTTGTTTATATCCAATTTAGGCATTTAGCTGTGTTTTCTCTTCCAACAGTCAATAGACTGATTATGTTGCGGAAATGCGTTCTTTTCCAATCGAGTTTTGCAGGTAAGTCTTAATCAGTTTTAATTTTGATTTAGATGTCAATGCTTATGAGCAACTGTTACGAGTAGGTAAGGTTAAATAAATAAGACACGCACTAATACCTAATACATCGATGTGTGTAGTGCTAAGATCATTTTCTAAAATAAATATAACAGAAAACATTTTTATACTTTTTATTTCTAAAATTATTGCAAATAACTCTTTCATAGATATTAATTGACGTGTATCTAAAGTCTGGGCGCATGTCATCAAGTAAACTCCACCAACCTCGTCAAAATGTTAAATTGAAAATCTTGCTCATCCTTTAAATTGCTACAATGGTTTAACATCTGCAATAAACGCATATTACTGGCCATTGCTTACCTTAGAAAATATAAGGTAACAAGCAAGTGAGTGAAGTTAAAATGTCTGAGTTTGATTTGAACCTTTCATTAAAAGAAGAAAGCAAGTCATCTAAATATGGATAATAAAAAAGGAAACCTCATAGTAATAAAAGTGAAACTATCATTATTAAATACTAATTGAATATAATAATTAGCTTTGTGTTTTTGAGTTTCTTGTTACCCATGCTCTAAGAAATCAATTTTACTCACTTGATCGATAATTTTATATAAAATCAACTTAATTTCTTCAACATTTTCTTCAACACAAAAATCAGAAAATGGTCAAGGTTCAACTAATAAAATAATTAATAACCGTTTTCAAACTGATAATTTATCTTAGTTATACCTACCTATCAGACCCGATAAATGATGATGTACTCATTTACTTATAAATTGTGGGACGAGTTAAAAGAATGTTTGTTCATGAGTT